CTCTGTTGACTGACCTTTGTATTTGTTCAAATAATTGTTATGGGCAGGTTAGAATAGAAAACTGTTTGTCATAAATATGTCTTGTGATTATTTGACAGGAGTTTTGATTTTAAACTGTAAGTGTATTTAATTTAGTTATGTTTGTTATGATAGTTTAGTTATGAAGTAAATACAATAAACTTAAACCAAGATTTAGAATAATTATCATTTTGATCCATTCATTGGTAATGTCTGACTGGGCCTTGTGTCACTTTATGTTCAACAATTTGGGCCATGAGGTCAAAAAGTTTGAGAACCCCTGGTTTAAATGACATTTTCAGATATTTTATTGGAAAGTTAGTCAAATTTGAGTTTACAGAGGTTAAATAAAATATTTACAAGTAGATCCAAGTACATAGGAATAACAGGGGTTGTTCGTTAGTGTTAGGCATAGCATTGTTATCATAGGCTAATTACTTAAAATAGCACAAGTCACCACTGGCCCAGGCAGAAAGAAGTTGACAGCCGTTTAAAGCTTGTTTGGATCCTAAATGTTTCACCAAACCCAAAACAAAATTATTATAGCTTCAAGGCTTTTGAAAGCTTTCATTTGTCTCGTCGTGTAATACGAGGTCTGCAGCACCTGATAGTTTATGTCAATCTCCTCGATGCCGGAAAAATCCTCCATGACAAGTCTTTTTTTATTAAGACAATGTGGATCATATCCTAAATGTAAACGTATTTTTCTGCAATATTTCGTCTGTGCTGGCACATTTAGTGCATTAGCGTACTCGCTGTGATCCATTTCTGTGTTTTGAACTGGAGCAAATCACTTCCTGTCCCCCAATTGAATTTTTGGGCGTCATCCGGGTCACATGACTGCAACCCAGCTGTACCTTCTGGTCTTGTGTCTAGTCATATGTTTACATCCAGCATGGCATTGCTCAACCCTAATAAATCTTTAAACACTTTAAAATTAACAGTAGTGAGGATTTTTCTCAGTCACAAAAAAGAAAAAAATTATTGAAGTATACATTGAAGCCATTTAAAATCTTTTTTAATCCATGCAAACACACACCTGTTCCAAGGTACAGGACGCTGTAGTGGAAATCATTGACAGCGAGGACGATATCCGCCACTGTGTGTGTGATTTGGTCATCTGTGGGGAGGTCAAGTGGAGCCACACCAACGGGACGGATCACATCCTCAATTTCTGGGTGGTATCTGATCACCCCGAGGTTTTTGATGTTGTTTTGACTTTCAGCTGTTGAAGGGCTCTTGCGGGCACACTGAGGAGAAAAGTAGCGTGATAGATTCCCGTCAGGATGGGCTCTCAAATGAATAAGACTTTCTTGGACAAAGAACTCCAAATTTAGTCTCTTTTAATAACTCATCCCTTTTCAAAAATAGAAATTTTAGTCTTTTTGTCTCTAAATTACAGGCTGACTCATTTGCACATTTTTTTCAGCATCTTGACAGTACAGAAAACAAAGATTTTCTTACCATGCCAGGGCGATTGCCGCTGAATGGACTGCTGTAGCCTCTCAGTTTAGAAGTGGAGAAGGCTTTGTCGATATCTTCAATGGAATAGGCACAGATTACAGTTCTACCCCTGAAATAATGAGAAAAGGATGATCGAGGAAACAAGGCAAGTGGTTATAAGGACAACAGAAACAGCATAAATACATTTTCAGCTTTGAAACAATAAAGATCTCTAATTTGGGGACTTCAGTTTGAAGCTATTTAATCATAGTACAAACTCAGAATAACATTTAAAGAAAAAATGTTGAAAATTTGCCTGTATTTTATGTTTTTCTTTTAATTCAATAAGACTTAGAGCAATTTACTTATAGTTTACTTTGCCTGTTGTTATAGTCTAAAAGGCATTTGAAGAAACACACCGTAATCACTTGAAGGTTTGTGTTAGAAAAGATGCAAAGTGAGACAATGACCTTCAGAATTGCTGTTTATCTCAGCTCCAAAATAGTAAACATACCTCAAACTGCAGATAGGATTTTTAGTGGTTGCAAATGTTGCTGTGTGTATGGCATCTGAACCTGCAATGAATTTGTCAGTGTTGCAGTGGCCTGGAGCTCGATTTAAAATGTCACGAGTAAAAAGGTGGAATACAACATGTACAGGTCACTAGTCCATCACAGAGCAAATGCTAAAACAAGATGCAAAAAAAAAATAAAAAATAAAAAAATAAAAAAGCAAACCATCTACACTCAGTCAGTCACCAGCTCATTTAACTTGCATGCTTTTGGACTGATAGAAGAAAGTTTTAGTAGTTTAAGAAAATCTACTTGGGCACAGATGAAGCATATAAGCTACACACAGAGTGTGTGATCTGAGCTAAAGACCTTTATTTTATAAGGCAACAATGCTAACAACACATTACCAGCTGGGAAAATATAATTTATTCAAAAAATGACTCAAATATACCTGGATTCAAATAAAAATTCAGGTTTAAAGACATATGTGTTAAAATATTACCATGCATTGGAAAAAAGGCCATACATGACCCCTTCCCTCTTGTCCTGATCTGTCAGCACCACGGCCTGCTTCATGTTGTTGTACTGCTGCTGAGTGTTTCCTGCTCCGCACATCACCCGTGCTTTCATGAAGGTGGTCCAGGAGTCTGCCAACAGGGCTTTGATGCCTCCTTCATCCACCTGAATAAAACAAAGGAAACACAAAAGGACTGTTACACCAAAGTCATACAAGGGCAGTGCGGTTGCCAAACCCTTTGAGACTCCTGCTTTGTGTTTTCTTGCCAAAATGGAGTGTCTGTCTTCAAACCCATGCTGTGCAGAAGAATCCTCATTTTGAAAAAAATAAATGAATAAAAAAACATCCATCTTCTTTTCAAAGCTTTTCAAAATGGGTCGAACATTTTTGTAAACACAACTGGGATGTGGGAACTAGATGTTTTATCTAAAAAAATAAATAAATAAAATCCACAATTTGCACATTGTGAATTAATATAATATGGGGCACAAAGTGTAAAATGGAATGTTAAAAAAAATTCACTGACATATTTTTCCTTATTTAGCTCAATGGGCCTCATGTAAGAACATGTTCGTATTCTTATCCTAAATTTCTCTTACTTTTGTTCGTACAAACGGTTCGTACAAACATGTCACGTCAGATTCAACAAACTCTTCTATCTTCAGGAAAAGTGTGTAAATGAGCTGCATAAATTCCACCTGTTCGTATCCAGCTGCTCGTGCACGCGAGAGGAGATTAGCGTAATTACCACCCCAAAAACACCATATAAGGCTATGTTTCCTGCCTCAGATACAAGGAAGTGTCCATTCATGAAAAATGACAGCGAAAATTAAAAAGAAGAACTTTACGAGTTCAGAGATTGAAGTCCGTCTGTCAGAGATCCAGAAAAGAAAATCTGTCATTTTTAGCAGGTCAGCTGTGGAATAAAAAGAGCTGCTAAATGTATAAACAACTGTGTTAAATCATTTTCATTTATTCAGAAGACACAGCGCAGCGCACTATACACCCCCCACCCCCGCGGTCTCAAGTGGCCTCAGTTGCGGTTCTGAAATACGCATTTCAAAATGTTTTCAAAATAAGTCTGACACTTTGGAGAAAATCTAGGACTCGCTGGAGGGATTATGTATCCCCTCTGACCTGGGAACATCTCAGAGTCCCCCGGGACGAGCTGGAAGGTGTCGCTGGGGAGAGGGATGTCTGGGTCTCTCTGCTGCTGACCCCACGACCCGATCCCGGATAAGCCGGCCGGCCGGACAATTTATATTGTTAGTCTAAATTATTACATTTAAAATTATAACTATAATTCAAGCAGAATAGCCTATTGGCAACATAATTATGGAGTGTAATTTATTTTCAACTCAAATTATCTTCAAACTAACGAAATATAAAGTTATTAGTGAAGAAAACCCGTCTYGATAACAGCAGACTGACTGCTCGTAAAATATARGACAGGTCWGGACCACTCGTYAATTTTGTTCGTATCTGAAAAAAATCTTAGAATACGAAAACATTGGTGAATGCCTCAAATTCTCCTAAATCACTCGTACGCACAACTTAAGKACAACTCTGTGCGTACGAACGGTTCTTGCATGAGGCCCAATGTTCTTACATTTAGCTAATTTTTAAATGTTAAAAAATATCTTTAAATTTTAAATCCTAAATCAAAATTATTAAAACTAAAATGGAAAAGTTAAATCTTAAATGTTAAAGTTCTCATTTATGTATTTTGGAATGGAACGCAGCCTTTGCTGTATGCGCTTGGCGCATGTGAGACTTCAATGCTTTAGTACAGCTAAAGCTTCCCTACAACACATCAAACTTGCAGTTATGGCTGGTGTCTGAGCTGCACACCAAACTGCTGGACCACAGGTACCACCAATTTTGTATTTATGATCACATTTTGAATTTAGATTTTAAATAGATGGTTTTCATTGACATCATCATCCAGGACTTTTTTACCGTCCGCACCCTGTTCGTGGGCTAGTATTTAGCTTGTAGTGATGAAACCAGTATGGGATAACCACAAAAGCAAGAGAGAAAAAATGCAAAAAGACCATTGAACGACGCAGACGAGCATGACCAGGATAATAATACTTTGTATTTAAAACGTGCCTTTCAGGACACCCATGGATCTACTGAATCTAAATCAAGGTATTTAGCTTTACTGAAAGTAGCGATGAGCTGCTGACATCTGCAGAGACGACAGGCTGTGTTGACACGAATCTGTGTGACTTTCTCTATGTTATTAGTAACTATGTCTTCCATACTCCAAATAGGTACATACTGCATAATAAGGAGCTTTTTGTGATTATAATCTGATACTGTCAGTGTATCCTACGTTCGTGTTTACAAGGGTAGATTGCATAATATTCAAAACACTGTTCTGTTCATAATGTGCAATCTTTTTTTAAAGTTCATTAACATACTATGCGGTCACTAACCATGGTAGGAGTGATCTGAACACACTCTGGAATCCCGAGGAGGGTGAAATCTTTGTAGTTGATTATCGCCAGCTACAAAATCATGTCGCTTTGCCGACATTTTTACTTCTTAGTGTTTTTATGCCGTATGTATTTTTTAAGAGCGTTTCTCTGCCACATGAGCAGCACAGTTTTGTAACTAACTCAAACTCAAATTTGCTCCATGACTGTTAAAACAACTTATAATAGAAACATACTACATAAACAATCTAGACTGTATTCATTTCTGTGCTGTAGGCTATTCCCTCTTCCACATTTGCAGCCACGAATATGGCGATTTYATCACGTGATCTGCAGGTCGCTACGTCATTTGAAAACCATCTATACTCTCTTTAGCAGTGTTAGAATCTTTAGCAGAAGTTAGCGTCAGATAACAAACATCAACATGGCGAATGCTATCCACCGCTAGCCGCTGCTAATGCTACTAAAGATAATATTTAACTCTAATATTTATTTAGTTTTTAGAAACCAAAACAAATGTTTTACTTCTTAAATGATGAGAATAATTCTAAATTGCACCTTATATGTTAAACAAACTGAAACAACAACATAAGATCTTCTCATGTACCTGTCAGAGGACAACCATAGGACAAACATAAAATCTTAGTTAGCAAACACAATTATTCCACACATGGCTGAACAAGTCAATCATTGCTACTTAAAAAAACATTCATCTTTAACCTTTTTTATTCCATCTGACAACCTTGATTTGAGAATAAATTAGGAGAAGAGTTGTGAATTGCACAGAGCAGCAGGTGTTTTGACTTTCACAGCAAATTGGAAAAACACCTGATCTGACTTTACTGATTGAAATGTTTAATGAAAGGAAACATCCTCTGGTTTGTTCCCAAAGCAAAGAAGCAGCACTCTGAAGACTGAATTTAGTATATTATATGTTATACACTTTGCACAGTGTGTGACTTTGACATTTTACTTGTCAAAACGCCAAGCTCTAGAGTAGCACCGCATTACTGTCATTCTGCTGCAGAAACTCTTCTTGTTTATTCCTCAGCTTTCTTTTGAGTTTTTCTGTCAAAACACTGAGTCTCTGAAGATATTTTCATGATGGTTTGAATGTTTTCTGAATAAATAATTTATGGCATTACCTTTGGCGCATTTTGCAAAGCCAACAAAAGAGTTGTTTACATCGAGGAGCAGCTGATTAGGCTTCCTAATGCCCAGGATGAGGCTCTAAGGCGTTTCATGAAGGGGAAGTTAAAGCATTTAAAAGGAGCCTGCAGCAAAACAAATCCTTGAAGGTTTTTAGATTTTTACCGTGCAGATGCGACCAATCCGAGCCCTGTAAGGCTCCTCATCCACTCGGGCTGTCTTGTTGAATTCAGTGAAGAAGAAATAGATCTCCTCCTTGAATTTTTGTGAGGATGGGATTATAGCTGCACCGGCAAACTGTGGATCTGAAAAAAGTGAATGCATGCATTATACTTACAGGACATCTTAAACATGAAAAAGCAAAAAGCTCGAACAAGCATTATGATTATGTCAAACTGGAGGTCTAATATTCTATACTGGAAAAAAGCATCATCTGCCACCTTTAATAATAGAGGTTTAACTCAAGATGGCTGCCACAGCCACATCTCACAAGACAAATAAGGCTGCTAGTATGTGATGAGAATTACTCTTAATTATTACCAATATTTAATGACAGATTAGAGTCGGAATTCTAAGATGAAAGTCTAAATTATTATTATTATTATTATT